TGAAATTCATTTGAATAAAATTATAATTTTTCGAAGGTAAAAATTAATTTTTTATAAAAAATAATATAATAATAATATAATAATAAAATAATAAAAATATAATAAAATAATAAAATAATAAAAAATATAATAAAATAATAATAATAATAATAATAATTTCAGAATAATCAATTATCGTTTGAAAAAAATTATTTATAGAAGAGATTAAAATGCTGATTTTTTCGCAACTCTTTTGATAATCACAACAAATGCGATTGTTAACAATAACATCGAGTTGACAACCGATAAGCAGTGCCCTCGATTATATAGACACACTACTGGAAATATCCCACAATCAGTATAATCAGATACATACTCTCTCTCTCTTTTTCTCTTTGTCTGCAGTCCGACTCCTAAAAAAAACGCGTCTCGCATCGGCGCATAGCAATTAAATTGATGTGTGTGAGAAAGCGGCACCGACGAGAGAGAAGAAACATACATGCAGACATGTCATACAGAGCTACTGCGCAATTTTTCATAGTCAGATCTCTCGATAAATTTAAAATTCTGTTTCTTTACAGGAAAGATTCGATCGCAATTATAACGTGCCTTCGAAATTTTCGACGTTAAATACTTTCCCTTAAATTAAAACTGACAATTAGAAGTTAAAATACGGCATCAACGCTAATTTAACGAGATCTTTTCGTCCGTTTTTTGTACACTGAAAAAATGTGCTAACTTCACTAAATATTATTTTGTTAATTGGACATATAAAAATATTTAAATTAAATGTAACATATTAAATCTAACAAAATGTATATTTTTTATACTAATATGATCAATTAACAAAATAGTAATTTAGTTGAAGGGTTTAGTCAAGTTAACAAATTGTTTTTAGTGTACATACAAGTTCTGTATAAGTTTAATATAATATTTATATCTGGCTCTGAAACGCTGCGCAGTAATTATTAAACACTTGGTATACATTAAATAGATCATTTACTAGAATATATTATGGCGCATCTCTCCCTTTTGAGCATAATTAACACGATTTAGAAGCAGTTTATTACTATATTATTAAAGTTACTAGATTACATGAGAATTTCACAAGTAAATCGTTAGAAACCGCTCTCAAAATCTTCGAAAGTCAAACTTTAAAGTTATACAAAATCAGATGCTTTTTGATCATTTTTAAAGACTAAGATCTCAGGAAAAATTTTTTTATATATAATTATATATAAAAAGCACTTTTATCTAATTATGTATGGACATATTTCATATATAATTTTATATATTTCTATATAGTTTTATATTATTATATATAAAAATGTTTTCCCGGGATAAGTTTTGATAATTTTTCAAGATTTTCAAGATAATTTTAATAAGACCAGACATTATTTTTGATGAAACATTTTCACGCAATATTTAGTTAGAATATAAAAAAATTAAAAATTAAAAAGTTAGTATCAAAAATAATTAAAAATAAAATCAGTCGATCAAAAAATATTTAATACAATGCATTTAGATTTCTGCGAATAATTCTCTGAATAATCCGATGACTCAGTTTAATAGTTCGTTTTATTTTTCTTCTTTTCATCTACCTTCATTGTCTGCCGGACTTTAATTTCCTTTTTATACGTTCGCTCAATGTTGTGATATTGTAAACAAACGCTTTCCGTAAGAATGCTCAAGTAGGAATCCACTTTCTTTATCTCGCGAGGAGAGAAAAACGGGGAAGTTTCGCGAAAATATTCATCCGGCGGAAAATCTCGTAAAGTCACGCCACCGTAATCATATCAGTGCGTAAGATTTCTTTAATGTGCACGCGCGCTAATGAGATTGATTGCCTTGATTACGCTTAATCAGCAATTTGTTCAGCCCGGACTTGTTTGTCGATTAAATGGATTCCAAGATGGCATCCCGGATACACACATTATTTAGGCATTATTTACCGAGAAAAAGATTATCAGAAAATATATTCTACAGGCGATCGTTAATTACACTGAGAAAAAATATATATTGCAATCAAAAAAGTTATATTTGATTTAAAAAAATAATTTTTTTGAATACTTCTAGCCAAAGATTTACTTGAAGGGAATAGAAACTTTCATTAATTTAAACAAATATTTTTTAATTCTTAACAATTATTTACTTTGGAAAAAACGCAGTAGTTTTAATCTAAAAAAACAAAAATTAAAATAAAAGATACATTTGCTTAAATACAATTTATTTTTATTGCACTTACAATTTTTTTTTAAATGACTAAATTAATACATATTTAGTTGAATATACTGTATAATGAATCATTTATTTGAAACAAATAAATATATTTATTTGTTTTGAAAAAAGATTTTCTTATATCAAATAAATATAATTAGTTTCAAATAAATTATTTATTTGACAGTATTGAAATAAATACTTATAAGAGTCGACTACATTTTTTTCAGTGTATTAAATACATCGTTTCCGTTTATACAAATGTTGCAATCTCGAGGAAAGGATGATTCTCGCAATTTTTTCCTTTCTTTTCTTTACGAAGTCGGAAAAAGAGATAGCGGAATCTCTTGAAACATCGAGTGGAAACAGGATTTTTGTCGAGAAATCTAGCGAGGTAGCTTCTTGATTTTTATCCGCGATCGATAACGCGATAAAACGATGCAGTTGCAACACGTGTTTATTTTTAGCGATCGGATGCACCGAGGATCTACGTGAATTTTCTGGCGTCCAAACATGCGTATGCATGTAATGCTTCTCTACGTTTACATAATATTTCAAAATCGATTGAAATTACGCGCGAAAAGTTGTTTAATCAAGGATAGAAGTTGCTTGAACACAAAGGCGTTAAATCATCGCGAAATGAAAGGACTCGCTCGTCAATGGAACGTGAAACTGATTAGATCAGCAAACCGACTACGTCGTTTCGAAATGATGCGCCATCGAGATTGCGTTGTAAATGTCAAAATAATTTGCACTTTATCGAAGTTTAACAAGTTCCCTGGCGTCTTTAAAAAAAAGGCGAATTTTTTTGGACGATCCTAGCTTTCACCTTTTTCTCGAAATACAATTTCATCAGACAAATAATAAATACATATTGCATAATATCCGTTTTTTTAAATAACGGAGAAGAGAAATAAATTCTCCTCTTTTTTTCCTTTTATAATTATATTATATACGATATTTCCGACATCCTACACTCTTGCAATATGATAAACATATAATGTCGTTTATTTCTTTCTCCCAATGAAAAATTTTTCTGACGTTTCGCGAAAATTTATACTGAAAAACATTACTAAATTAATAAATATTTATTTACTCCCAAATAAATCATATTTATTTGAAATAAACAATATTTTGTTTCGAAAAATATTTTCTTATATCAAATAAATATTTTTATATCAAATCAATATTATTAGTTTCAAACAAATAATTCATTTGGCAGTATTGAAATAAACATTCTTTTTCGAATTCAATACATTTTTTTTCAGTGCACCTCGACCTTGTGATCTTACCAAGGTTATTACGCGGGACAATACATGCTCGTTGTGTGAAAGTGCAATCGTAAAATTTGTCAGACAATGCAAAGGGGAGAGTGGAGGGAAGAAGCACAGCTGACACGTCGGCATTCGATTACGCAATCGACGATCGGCGCGTTTAGAGAAGCTTTTGCGTCAGCGGGTGCCGCTGCAAGTTGCATAAGTCTTCGCTAAAGTGCAATAAGGCCGCGAGAATAAAGAGACCGACAACGAGCCATGGAACACTACTATTTTACCGAGTTATGAGCTATTAAAACGTCGCGATATATATTTTTCTAGTGCGATCGTAGGCGTTCACTTTCTATCTCGCTGAACGTTATTACGCAATATATTTCGTCGAGTTTTATCTCTCTCTCTTCGTAATTCTTATCGAGAAGTCGATTTACGTCGATATTAAATCATATTCAACGATCTAGCGAGACTTCTCTAAACGCGATAAATTGTAATCATGTCTGAGAATTGCGCGGAACAAAAAAATCTTAGGTTTCTGATTTAAAAAAATTGATGCTCAAATTTATAATGAAGAAAAGCAACTGGTTTCTACGTTGCACCGGAAACAGCGCGATCGATTTGCAGTCCGGTGGCAGCCAAGCCTATTATGCAGAACAGGATGATTATTCTCAAACGTAAAAAAGCGTAGAAATAAAAAAAAAAAATAGATAAATCACGACCGATAATAAATAGACAAAGATTAACATATATATATTTGCATTTTGTAGTAAGAAAGAATTTACGTCGTGCTTCGTATTATTACAAATTAAAATTTGAAATTATGTGAAAAATAAGCAATGAATTTTACTTCGTAGAATTAACTTGATTTATATGAAAAAATATACTTATACAAATTTTACGCGCAAAAATAAAAAATTGGGTTTCATTTCCAGCTGTCACATTTTGACATTTCAAAATGTTTACAACCTTTTCCTATACATGGAACGATAATTATATAATTGATATAGATTTCACACAATTCTCATTGTTCCATTGTGTTACTACTCCGCTAAAAAAAAAAACATGAGAGCCACCAGCGTTAACTGAATCACCCTGTAGAGCAAGGTGAACTCGCTTCCGGACGGCGTCTTACAATTAGATCTAATTGTTGATACCGCTCGACGGATGTGTATATAATCTGCAAAACCTGATGGCTTTCCTAATGAAAGCACGATTATACCAAGAGCACGCGCGAGCGCGAGCCTTCATCTGTCAGCTGATATTGACAGTAGTACTTTTCGGTTCTCTCTCTCTCCCTCTCTCTTTGGTGCGCGCGCGCAAAAAAGAGAAAGATCTCTACTGTGTCTAACAAAAACTAAACACGGGCGTGTATATACATTTATATATATAGAAGCGCAATCGCGTGTCACACGAGCGTGACGCGACTTCCGCTAGTTCGCGTTTTTCGCGCGTGAAAAAATCAAAACTTCGGGACGGGGTGAAATCGAGGTCAAGGATCAGGCGGACCCCCTCGTCGTCCTTTTCTCCTCTACTTACTGCTTGTACTCCGCAGGTCGCCCTCGATGATCAGAACGTCGTTGCACACATCCGTCGCGGTACATGCACTTAAATACGTAAATTGCACACGCACACTTGTACGCGCGCGCGCGCGGGCGCGCGAGACAGTTATCTCCTACGCATTCGACTCGACGAGAACAGATATACTCTCCTTCGCGTCCGCGTCAGCAACTTCACGGCGTTGCGCGGACTCGAATCGTCGTCGATTCCTCGAGCGGAGGTTGAGTGACGTCGCGCGCGAACGCGCCGTTCGCCATCCAGCGTCGGACTGGCTCTCCTTTGTTTAGTAAACAGAAACAGCTGAGCGACCGCCGAGAAACGGTGGAGGTGGCGGCGGTCGCGTCCGTACTATCGACCGTATCGAGCATGCGCGATGCCCGCGCTTGCGGTCACGTGGGCCGCGCGCGCGGTCACGTGGGACGCCGCGGTCACGTGGGCGCGCGGTCACGTGGCCCGCCGCTGAGAGTAGCGCTGTCAACGCGCAAAGTCGCTTTTGAATTCGCGAGTGCGGAACGATATCTGATTCTCTTTTCCTAACGAGCTGTCAATTCGGAGTTGTAGTGCCAAGTGAGACTTGAAACGTGAAACTCTATCCGGATGTCCTTCCAGCTACACGGCGGAAACACGGAAATTGAAAGTAGAGTATATGTAATGTATATTCAATTTTGTGATGATATGGAGAGGGCTAGGAATAATTTTTTTTTTTTTTGGAAGGATTTGTTTTATATTTTTTTACGACTGTCTGAGATCTTTGACAAACTTGAGTTTCCTATTTGTCAAAGTCTTGAATATACGTTGTCTTATTGCGTCGAGCATATATAATTTTAATTTGCAAGCGTGTGTTAAATGCACGCAATAAAAAATGCGCTTGGTTTGAAGGTTACATGCTAGATTTAGCATGTATTAACTTTGTTTATAAGCAAAATATATATATATGTGATGTATATTTTTTTTATTTTGAATTCGCTTATGCGTGGTATATGTATATATATATATATATAATAATCTACATTTTTTGGAAATGCAAAAAATATATCGTTCAATTGAAAATATCTGCTGTATATCCGGTAAGTACATATATAAATTAGAGAAGAGAAAACAGCTATTACAGGAACAAATTACATAAAAAAATATATCGGAAATACGTCTATGTATTTAACGTAATTGCATAGTCTTGTACTTACGGAAGTATGAAGATTAGAAGAACGTTTCGCGACGATTGCATAGTCGAACACGTAAAGGGGGAATTGCTTGATTGATCGGATTATATAATTTAAATGTTGAAAAAAGACCGAGAGAGAGAGAATGAAAAAAAAAGTTGCACTGTTTACACAAAAAATTTGGACATTTCTCCGAAGCAATGTGAATGCAATTACTTAACGAGAGGAAAGCGGACAATCAGCGTTGGCATGGAGATTTTTTTATCATTTTTTATTCTGTGTATTCCTTTAGGTATTTTTTTTATCCCTAGCTTCTATTTTATTATACGAGAATTGCCCTGTAATATATATATTTTATTACGTATTTTTATTATAATTTTTGATAACACTACATATTTTGTCCCCTAACACTTATCAATCATGTTATTGAGTATCAGTTTAACAATTAAGGACGATTAACACTTTCAAAATTTTTGCTTCAATTCTCTAAATATGTGAGAAAACTACTAGGTATGAATATGCATAAACAGAGATGCAACACGATTGTAAAATTACTGTTGCTGGGAAAATATACAACTTTATACGTTGTTAATTTTCGTCTCTTAAATAGTATTATTATATTATTTGTCGATACATAGAATATTTGTTATGTACCATTAATTAACAATGTATTACACTTATTTCGTTCTTTGCTTTCAAAAATGTCTATTACACACACACTCTCTCTCTCTTGCTCACATTTATAAATTATTGTACACGTCGAAGAGAATCCTTGAAACATCTCTGCTGTTCATTTTGGTACTCACGTGTAATTATTAGTATTAATTACAGGTTACACAATTAAAGTAAGGTACACCTATAAAGTACATTAGGCACATTATGTTACACACACATACATATACATATACATTTACGAGTTAATTAGAAGTTAGAGGTACTCCAGGCGGTGCTTTTTTATTTGTTCTTGCAGGGGAGAGAATTATTACTAATATTATATTTTATGTATTATCTCGATCATCATGAAAGGGAACAGATTGAGAGAAATCGGAACGAAAAGTCTACACTCTCTATACGTTATACAATTCACTTCGTCGTTAATTTACGTCAATTCGCGGACTCACGCGAGCGGGAAACTTACATGAGCAACTGTTACACGAATTATCGACACTAGATTTTAAATATTATGCAGCCGCGTTACGAAACTAATTAACTTCTCGAGTTCGTCAGAAATTATAGCCGCTCGCTAATTCAAAACGCGAGATCTATAATGATTGTGTTATCCTATCGATGAAAGTTGCAAACAAAATATATTTAATTCAAATTATTAAATTTTCTATACATTTTTTTCAAGTATATCACATCAATAAAAGTCATATTTAATATTATTTGTTCAATTTTCGTTAAGTCTTCGAGGTTTGTTCATCATTTAACTTATCTTTCATCAGATCTTTGTCCAGATCTCTTTCCCGATAGAATGTGTATCGTAAAAAAAAGTTTATTGAATTAGAATAAATATTTATTTCTATACTGTCTAATAAATCGTTTATTTGAAACTAATAATATCGATTTGATGTGAAAAATATTTATTTGTTTCAAATAAATGATTTATTAAACAATATTGAAATACATATTTAATAATTTAATTTGTTTAAAAAGATAACTCTTATAATTTTGAAATTCCTATTCTAGAAAAATAGAGATCTGAATCATTAAGTGTGTAAGATATTCTCCTGAGTATTTTCGTTTCTTATGAAGAATATATAAATATTCTCGTAGTTTTTTTCGATTCAATTAAAATTCCTGTAAAAAGATGCTGCGGCGATAATAATGATTTGCATGTAACATTCTCATCTTTTTTTACATTATTGTTGTAACGATTGCCGCAGAAAATTCATTTTTAAATTACAATTAATTTTTGCGGAAGTGTTTGAGAGAAGCTATTAGTGTTTTATATTGCCAACACTAAATACATATCGTGCTTCTGACAACGTATTATTATTATGCCATGAATCTTACGCAGGAAGAGAATTGCTGGCCCACCAATAGAATGCCGGTCAGATTCTAATATATATTATTATGTCGACGTTTTCACGCTTCCGGTAACAATAAGGAAATTTGCAACAAGTGAACGAACCGATGCGATTTCGCGTGACAGTATATATTATTCACTTTTTATCATTAATTGCATTATTTATAAAGTATATTTCGATGTTTTCCAGGAAACGCGATGCTTTTTGCACCAAAAAGTAATAATGCTATCTTTTGAATTTTTTTTGTCAAAAAAATGACTTCTTAAATTATTATGTGCACGTTTTTCTTAAACCATTAATTTTACAATCGCATTGCTTATTATTTATGTCATCTCTTTCCGTGCTCTGTCCTCTTTTAATGCTCATATAAAAGCGGTAAATGTAGAATGTTTTTTAAATATAAATTCAATATAATTTCCGAACAAGTTTTGAACTTAATTAAGAATTGGAGAAACACTCTGGTTAAAATACTTTCATATTGCACAGTTATATGTCTTGTGGTCGCGATAGATGTTCTCCAATTGTTTGAGAGCACGTTTGCGAAAGAAAGGGACACTTTTTTGCCATCACGCACAAATCTAAAAGTGTATATCGTATTAGATTGGTCGAAATTTATTGCATGGACCGATGAGTGCAGATCTTGCATTTATTTTATCTTTTTTTTTCGCGTAGCTTAGAAGGAAACGCGTGCTGTGTTCTATAAAAAGCTCTAGTTTACGATATGTAACGTAAGTTATTTATTCGATCATGTCTGTATACATTACTTGCTTGCCACGATGGAACAAAGTGGTAACTACACATACGTTTCTCATTTGCGTTGATATCGATATATCGATGAACCCTTAAATGTTATCATCCGCCGAGTTTTAACGTGCATTAATATTTCGAAGTAACGCGCAACTACAACATCAATATTGAATTAATAACACGTGCATATATGTATGTATATAATATATTTTTATTTTTTTCCCTATTGAATCTCTTAATAATCTAAGAACCTATATCAGCTTTGAACACATTTCGAATTTTACATAGAATTCAACAGCTTTGGCGGGATCTTGCGATCGAGAAAACAAATCTTTGAAAATAATTCGGGAAAATTTGCCGCTATATTTTCAATATATAGAGGCGAGAGAGTAATGTACATAAATCTTTTTTTTTTCTTTTTCTTTTTTTTTTTTTTTAGCAACATTAATTCTCCTCGCGTCATGTTAAAAAAAACTGCAATAAAGCTGCTTTCGATGATCTCATTTAAGGGCGATCGAGAAGAAGCACTGTTCTCGAAAGAAAACACATGTTACTCTCCTCAACTGTACGTAAACACACTTATCTGTCACCTGTCATGAGAAAAATTCCACCTTTCCTATTTCCTACTCTTAAATCTTACATATCGTTCTCACAAAAAAGCGCGACTAAACTTTATTTTTACAGACTTTTTTTACCTGTACAGAACATTTTCTTTCTTTTTCAATACGATAGGGACAACGGTTATATATAATATATATATTTTTTATATGTATATATATTCTACGGCTTGTCTCCTTTACAATATTTATTCCTTATGCCAAATATCAGATCAACAGAGTTTAGATCTATTGTCCACTCTACTTGATTTCTACTTCATTTATTATATTTATGGAGATAAATAATGCTTTTCCTCTCGAGGTGTGGTCGAGCAATACACTGAAAAAAATGACTAAATTAATACATATTTCATTCAATACTGTCAAATGAATCATTTATTTGTTTCAAATAAATGATTCATTTGACAGTATTGAATGAAATTTTTCATGTCAAATAAATATTTTTAGTTTCAAATAAACGATTTATTTGACAGTATTGAAAGAAATACTTATAAGAATTAACTAAATTTTTTTCAGTGTACTCAAACATGACATATTTATATATATATATTATTTATCGCACTGGGGGTTGTGAGTTTCGCTAAATTTGCGCATCTACTTCCATTTTTATTCCACTGCATACATGCTAACACCAAAAAAAGCTTTGTTTTTTTTTACATAAGTATAGAGAGAGTACCATTTTATTACATTTTTCGCGAAACTATAACTCTCGATTTATATGTCATATACTGTTACACGACGAGCTCACGTGATTGTATTAAAATACCATTATAAATGAAATCTCAACAAATTG